CACATTACAACGACAAAAGCATCAAATAGATTTATATTTATCTATCGTCCTTTCAAAACAACGCATTTTCGAAGTCAGATACTTTTTTATATAATATTACGGAAAGAATATTGCTTGGAGTAATGAAAAAAATGGAAGATCGACAATTTCGAAACCCTGTTCTCTCAGGATGACTTCAGTAATCAATAGTTTAAAAAGCAATCAAGCTGATGATCTTAAAAGAAGGAAGTTGTGAATGAAAAAAAATAATATTTTTATAGTTCATTATTGAACTTAATAAAAAATATATAGCGGCTAAGCGGAGCAAAGAGTGTAAAATTAAAATTTTATCGAAAGGAAAGCGGATCTTCAAACTAAAGTGACAAGAAGAGGAATGAAGTTATAATGTATTTTTAAATTTACGAAAATTAACTAAAATTAACGAAAATTAATATAATTCACCAAAAAGTTAAATCGAAAAATAAGGTGTGATGAGTCATTGTTTTGAAAATAATAAAATAAAAGTAAAACTTTCAGTAGTGTTTGCTGGCCTCTCCAATTGAGAGAGCTTATCTATATTTAAGCACAGAGATGCGTTTAAAAACCATCCATATACTTGTGTTAATAATTATGATCATACTCTATATAAAATTACGAAAAATGTGTGATCTTGAAGGTAGTATCGCTGATACGTACTCTTAAAAATGAAATGCATTTCTAGGATATAGTCGACAGACAGCCAAATTGAAAAATTGCATGACAATCAAACAAATAGACAAATGAACATATCAAAATCGATCCATTTCCATTTCCATACTATATGTAAATCAAGGATTATCTCCAATGTGTTAGAAATAGCATTAAAAATTAACTGAATCACTATAGTGTAAAGGAAATAAAATTCTATTTCATAACAGAAGAAAGTGCAAGCCCATATAGGTGGGATAAACAAAAATTGGATTGACGGCGAAACTGAGGACCTCCAAGAAATTAGCTGGAAATAAGAGCAAGAGATATATAAGAGTGGGAAATTAATGTTATGCATATACCTATAAGTCTTACTATTACAAGGAAGAAGAAGAATATATATATTAAATTTTATTAAATTAGGTTTTGAACTTCCCCTGAGTCAAGAATTAATGCTTTATTGAGTTTGTCAGTAGTTTTGTTTATGTATATTCTATTTGGATTTAAATAATTATTCTTTAATAATAATTTTTTTTTATGTTTTTTTAATCTAAATTCTAATATGCGTTTTCATTTTATTTTTTTCAGCTATTGAAAGTTAAAATTAATAAGTTTTAAATTGAAAACAAATAAAAAAGTTGTTGACATACAAATTTTTATGCATAATTTTGTTGATTAAAAACAATGAATAAATAATCGATTAATGGATCAATATATGAATGAATTTGTATATTTTTATTTATTCGTAAATATATAAAAACTAAACGATAGTGTCATTCCCCTCTTCGGGAATGGTAAACAAAATAAATTTCAGTAATTTATGATGAAAAAATGTTGACTAAAATATTATGCAAAGAATTTTTACGTTTGAATTTTTAAATAAATATTAAAAATAGAGAAAATGTTGTTAAAACTGAAATAGTCACAATAAAATCAAATTAAAAATGTTTACAATAAAAATTTCCAAAAAAACTATGAATTTATAGCAGAAAGGTTATAACATTTATGAGAAAGATCAGTAATTTGAATTTAAATCGCCAAAGATGTGCATGGAACTAAGATATCAGAAATTATAGACAATTAAACACGTTAAAGCAATCGTTTATTATAAATAAATCTTTATCAAATAATTTAAACAAGATAATATATACATAATTTTGGAAAAGCTCGTGGTGGGATTTATTTTAAATGGACGAAAGAGTGACCTACCGCGACTTTTATGATTGATTGTGTTATCTTTAAAGATGAGATATTAATATCCAGAAATAAACTTACTCGGCGCGACTTCGATTTCCTGGTTAAGCCCATTTGATAATATAATTCAGTAATGACAATTATTTTGAACAACTTTGTTTTGTACTCTTTATGCCGATATAGTTTACTTCTCGAGATACAGAAACTTAAAGTTGTAAGATTTAAACATCTACTAACATAAACTGAAGTATTTAAAACATTAACTGTATTAAAGCGTTTTGTTTGATTTGGAGCTAGATATTGTTGCGGACATTGCTCTGCTGACATACATACACTCAGAAAAATAATTTGGTAAATTTAATCAGATTTTAATTAAATCTCAGGTCAAAATATTCTTACTTGATGCAGCATGTTTGTTTAATTATGCTACATGTTGGTTTTCATATCTTCTTTAACACATGAGATAAAATGTGTGGTTAGAGAATATTTTTCTCAGTATAGAGTGCACACCAAGGTATATATATATATACATATATATAGGTTGGTCTTGGTCTACAGTGTAAATATAATCACCCATCATGCAGAAATCCAAATTAATTCAAAAAAGATCTCGAATATATCAGTCGTATGCTCGTATATTATCTCAAGAATGATAAACACTGTCAGAGCAAACAAAATGTATTATAGTCGAAACAGAGTAAAACAAGATAAGTTCTGTACTAACCTATTCAGTGCAGAAATCCCTTAACTGCAGATTTTAACCTGGGTCTGTTTTTATTCTAGGTATGTATAGTTTAACTCAAAGAGTCGTAAGTGAATTGGCAATGCAAATGGACGGTTCATTGTCTCTTTTGTTCCAAGTGTGGGTTAAACTTGGTCAGTGGAAAGAAAAAAGTTCAATAACCAAGTTTCAATAAGGAAACTAAACGAAACCAACACCTCGTTTTTAATAAGAAAACCCGTTTAAGAAATTTTGCATACTTTTTAACAAAAATTCAGTTGCTATAATGTTTATATGACATTAATAAAATTGTAGTCTAAAAGTAGGCAGAATTGTTTTTACTAAAATCGAGTTGTTTTCAAATTAAAAATTAAGTTTGCAATCCAAATATCTATTGATTGAATACCATATACATAGTATGTTAACTAGTTATATTTACCTAATCTATAATAAGAACGATATTTAAGGATTGTTGATATTTAATAAATAATAAATAATATTTTTTTTATTTATTATTTTGGAAGGAACACATAATAAAAAGGGAGCAACACTAGAAATAAACTATGATGGAAAATAAATTTATTAACACATGGGACTCTGAAGTTGTTGAAAGAAATGCCAGCATTGATGGCTTAAACAACCAGCTGATCTAGTTGATCACTTTTATTAAACTAGTAAAATTCATTACGAGTAAAATACATATAAACAAATTTCTATTATTTCGTTAGGTTTTTATAAAGGGGTTTCGGAACTAAAGATAAGTAGTATAGAGCTTTGTTTTTTGTATAGAGCTTTATGTTGATGTATTTTTTGTCTGTTGGATATTATTGAATTATTTTCCTGAAAGTGACATAAATCTCTTTTCTAACAGAAAAAACTTATATAATTGTATCTGTATATTATGTACTTTAATGAACCAACCATTTAGGTGAGAAAAAATGTTGGATATAATTGGAAACTTCTTGAAGAATGACTAGGGATTGGTATCTGATATTAATCGAAGCAAGCGTATGGTTAAGTATATATCAACCTTATCTCAAGCCTGTAATTTAATTATAAAATGAATTTTAATTTAATTAAATTCTCGTTTATGTTGTATTTTAAGCAAGAGTTTTTTATACTGGACACTAGTGTTTCATAAATAGACCAGCCGCCCCATTTGATATTAGAAATAAGACTTACAAAGATTGAATAATTTTGTAGCAAAGATGATTAAAATATCTCGTCGACAAGTCATTTTTTACTAGGGTTAAGCACAGAGTTTATTTGAGGATAGAATTTTACTATTAATTGAAATTTTACTATTGTACGTAGAATAACAGGTGTTAAAAATAAATGTTTCTACTTATTGAAGCTATGTTTATTGTATTGCAAGAGCGAAAAAAAGGTCGTTAGACATATAAATATAATGAGATATAATGCTTGATTGATCTGCTTTCTTTCTTTGAAAGCTTTAAGTCAGGCCGGGTCTACGTCCCATAACCACTCGTCCATCTCGACGTCCAAGTGTCGTTCAACACCAACCAAAAGGGTTTTACAAGTAGGTCCCAGCGGGTCACCACAATAACAACAATAACTGTATATGCTGTATATACTATTGTAAATAGGTAAAGCAGACATTAATTTTCGTTATGCTCTCATGGATAGATTTAAAGATAGATTTATTAACATGGAAAGACGAACTGATGACTATCTATCCATCCGTTTATCTATTTTCAGATTATTGTGTTTGTTAAGAAACCAGTATTTAAGTTATTTTAAGCTACGGATATTTGTAGATTTTGCAAAATTAAGTAGATAACTTTAATAACTCGTGCATAGCCATAAATTAACGAATTGAAAATAATTTCATAAGCCATTAAGTATACAAAAATTATCCATAGATATATTTCAACTGTAAAAAATTATTAATAAGATAAATATTTTTTCCCTCATTTCAGTTTTTATTTAGAATTTTTTTTAATTCGCTGCATTAAAAGTATTCCTGTTTCGGTAACTGCTGTTCGCTAGAAGTTTTTTGATTAAATTTAACGGACCATAATTTATGCCCTCGAGTATGACAAAGTACCACACGATTTTTGTATGTTAATATTGTGTTTTTTGCATTTTTCGAAGTTATTGTCTACGATTTTATCAAATGTAGCCACATAAATTTCAGTCACAACACCCAACCATATTTGCATTGCATATCAGACCGAAGTCAGGGAGCCGCACATTTCCTTATGCGTGAGTTTCCCGCAAATGATGGCATTATTACTTATTCATTGTAATCAAGTGAGAATACTTATATCGTGTGTACCGCCCTTCTGGG